TAAAATGGTTAAACCAATTCATATTTCCATCATCAATATAGTAGTCGGTATGAAGAGAATTCTTAACTAAATTGAGGGTATAGAGGATTATAAAAGAGAAAATAGATAATTTCTTTTTTTCCTTAATAGTATTTTATTTTTTCCAATTACACATAAAGATAGTTTTCAACATTCACTTTTCTAAGATTTTGAGTTCCAATTTTTTTTCCTTCCTCCCTCCCCAAGACAGCATTCAATCTGGTAATAGGCTATATATGTACAACTATATTAAACATTTCCACACTAGTCATGTTGTGAAAGAATCAGGACAAAAAGGAAAAACCATGAGAAAGAAAAAAGGGAGAAAAAATAGTATGCTTAGATCTGCATTCAGACTTCATAGTTGTTTTTGTTTGTTTGTTTGTTTGTTTGTTGTTTGGTGAGGCAATCAGGGTTAAGTGACTTGCCCAGGGTCACAAAGCTAGTAAGTGTCAACTGTCTGAGGCTGGATTTGTACTCAGGTCCTCCTGACTCCTAGGCCACATCTCTATGCACTGCACCACCTAGCTGCCCCTAGACATCATAGTTCTTTCTCTGGGTGTGGATAGCATATTCCATCTTGAGTCTTTTGGAATTGTCTTACATCATTGTATTGCTGAGAAGATCTAAGTCTATCATAGTTGATCACTGCACAGTTTTGCTGTTACTCTGTACAATGCTCTCCTGGTTCTGCTCACTTCACTCGGTATCAATTCATGTAAGTCTTTCCAGGTTTTTCTGAAATCCACTCTCTCATCATTTCTTATAGCATAATACTATTCTATTACATTCATATAGTGCAACTTGTTCAGCCATTCCTCAATTGATGGACATCGCCTCAATTTCCCATTCCTTGCCACCACAAAAAGAGCTGATAGAAATATTTTTGTATATGTGGGTCCTTTTCCCATTTGTATGATCTCTTTGGGATACTGACATAGAAGTGGTATTGCTGGGTCAAATGGTATGCACAGTTTTGTAGCCCTTTGGGCATAGTCCCAAATTATTCTCCAGAATGCCTAGATCAGTTCACAACTCCACCTACAATGCATTAGTGTTCCAATTTTCCCATATCTTCTCTAAAATTTATCATTTTCCTGTTTTGTCATATTAGCTAATCTGATAGGAGTGATGTGATACCTCAGAGTTTCTATAATTTTCATTTCTCTAATCAATAATGATTTAGAGCATTTTTATATGACTATAGATAGCTTTAATTTCTTCATCCAAAAACCCGCCTGTTCATATCCTTTGACCATTTATCAATTGGAGAATGACTTATATTCTTATAAATTTGACTCAGTTCTCTATATATTTTAGAAATCAGGCCTTTGTTAAAGACACTGGTTGTAAAAAATTTTTCCCAGTTCTTTCCTTGCTTCCCTCCTAATCTTGGTTGCATTGGCTTTGTTTGTGCAAAACTTTTTTAATTTACTGTATTCAAAATTATCCATATTGCATTTCATAATGTTCTCTATCTCCTGTTTGATCATAAACTCTTCCCTTCTCCATAGATCTGTTTCCCTTGATAATTTCTTCGAAGATGATGTCTAGGCTCTTGTTTTGATCGTGGCTTTCAGATAGTCCAATAATTTTTAAATTCTCTCTCCTGGATCTATTTTCCAGGTCAGTTGTTTTTCCAATGAGATATTTCACATTGTTTTCTAATTTTTCATTCTTTTGGATTTGTTTTACAGTGTCTTGATTTCTCATAAAGTCACTAGCTTCCAATTGCTCTATTCTAATTTTTTAGGAAGTATTTTCTTCAGTAATCTTTCAGACTTCCTTTTCCATTTGGCCAATTTTGCTTTCTAAGGTATTCTTCTCATTGGCTTTTTGGATCTCTTTTGCCATTTGGGTTAGGCTATTTTTTAAGGTGTTATTTTCTTCAGTATTTTTTTGGGTCTCCTTTAGCAAGCTGTTGACTTGTTTTTCATGATTTTCTTGCATCACTCTCAGTTTTTCCTCTACTTTTCTTATTTGCTTCTCAAAATCCCTTTTGAGCTCTTCCAAGGCCTGGGACTGATTCATATTTTTCTTGGAGGCTTTGGATGTAGGAGCTTTGGCTTTGTTGTCTCCTTCTGGTTGTATGTTTTGATCTTCTTTGTCACCAAAGTAAGATAATATAGTCTGACTCTTTTTGCATTGCTTACTCATGATTCCAGTCAATTACTTGAGTTTTAAACTCTTTGTTAAGGTAAAAGTCTGCTTCCAATGTGGAGAATGTACTGTCCCAAGCTTTGGGGGTTTGTACTGCTGTTTTCAGAGATACTTCTAGGGACCTGTAGATTTTCAGTTCTTCCAGGGTGCTATGATAAGGGACGAGGTGTTTCCTCTCCACCACCACAACAAGCTCCACCATGCCAGCACTCCTCCTTGCCCCAGGACCATCCCTCAGAACTGTAACCCAAATCCAAGCATGGGAAAACCAAGAGATTCCTGCCTCACCACTGGCAAAGAGATCCCTGCAATCCCCCTCTGATCAGCCACTCGATTCCCCCTCAATCTGTGGGCTGGAAGCTCAGGAAAAAGCCGCGGCCCCAGGCCGCGCTCGAAACTGGTGACTGAGACCTAGCTCCTCTCTCACTGTAGTCACAGACTTTTCCCACCTACCTTCTAAGTTGTCTTTGGCATTCATGGGTTGAGAAGTCTGGAAACTGCCACAGCTGACCATGGTTCAGCCCTCTGAGGCCTGCTCCAGGGTTGCTGTGGCCTGCATGCCCACGCCAAACTACGCTCCTCTCCCCACCCGGCATGATATACCTTTCTGATCAACCATCCAGGCTGTCTTTGGCTGGAGATTTGTTTCACTGTCTTTTTTTGGGTTCTGCTCTCTCCATAGATCTGAAAAGTAAACTATTCCTTATTCTCCTAATTTGCTTATGGTATCACCCTTTCTGTCTAAAATCATGTACTTCAAAAATAGATAATTTCAACTACATAAAATGTAACAGTTTTTGCCCAAACAAAATTAATGCAGCTAATATAATAAGAGAAATTGTTAATTGGGAAGAAAATCTTCATATCATGTATCTCTGATAAAAAATGAGTATCACTGCAAAACAAGTGAGCATGGTTCTTTCCTGGAGTTTTCACAAAGTTCAATTCTTGAACCAGGGCGAGTTTTCTCTTAAGTCCATAGTCAGGTTTCTTCTCTGCTGTCATGCATCACACTTTTTGAAGTTGTTTCCAGCCTCCAGTGACTGTCTCTTTGAATTCACATCTATATGGAGTAAGTGTCTCTCTTCTCTCAACTGTGCCCAGCACTTTCTCAAAGTGATTCTCCAGTTGCTTGATGGCAAGTCTCTTTCCAGGTGAGTAGTTGTATTCCTAGATACCTACTCCTTGTATATTAGGTTTGCCATGACTTTCAATTTGTGTGCATTATAGAATTCCTGACCAATAGCTTTCACTAATGTTAGCTTTAGCCTTATCTTTAGAAATACATAGCCTCTACTGGGGTAACAATCAAAGGTAACTTACCCAGCAAAGCTAAGTATGATCATGAATGAAAAAAAAGACATTTAACGAACAGAAAACTTTCAGATTTTTGTGACAAAAACCCCAGAACTCAAGGGAAAATCTGACAGACATAAATATAAGCAATATAAGGTAAACATTAAAGACTGATTATAAGGGACTCAATAAGGTCAAACTGTTTACTTCATATATGCGAAAATATTAGCAGTACTCTTATGATTGTCATCATTATTTGGGCAGTTTGAAAGAAAGACTTGGGCTGAGCTGAGTATGATGCTGTGATTCTAAAAGAAATAAAACTGTACTGGGAGAGATAAAAAGGAATAATTATCTCATACAAATAAGGTATAAAAGGAAAAACTGATACAGAAGAAGCTAGTAGGGGAGAGAATGGGTAGTACTGGAAACTTATTCTCATTGGCAATGGATTAATGATGGGAATTATATGTGTGTGTATGTGTATGTATATGTGTATACATACACACATATATTCATATATACAAATATGTGCGTATATACATATATGTATAAAAGTCTTCTAAATTCAGAAAGAAATAAGAGATCAAGCAGATAGGGTGGGAGGAGGGGATGAGGGAGGGATTTTTAGAGGGATGGATAGGTTAAGGAATAAGAGGGCAAGGTAGTGGGTAGAAGTAAAGCAGAGGAGTGGAGACAGATACAGTAAATAGCATGAGAAGGATAGTGAGAAAAAATAAGAAGGAGGAAAATATACGATAAGTAATTGGAGTTTAGAATGTGAATGGAATGAATTTACCCATAAAACCAAAATGGATAGCATATTAAAAATTTGAATTCAATAGTATGTGCTTTCAGGAAACATTCTAAAATGAGACATACACACAAAGATAAAGTAAAGGATAGGAGTAGAATTTTGTATGTAAAAAAAAACAGGGATAGTAATCATGATCTCAAAGTTAAAGTTAAAATAAAGTAAGTGAAAAATAAAGAAACTATACTATGTGTCAACAATATTATTCAATGTTGTTTTAGACCATTTAAAATACCTAGACAGTATAAAATGCCTTAGTATTTTAATACCTGCCAAAATAGACACAGAGATTATATGAACATAAACATAAAATACTTTTCATATATATAAACTCAGATCTAAGCAATATTTGAAGTAATTTGAAGTAATATTTATTATTCATGGGTGAGTAAAGCCAAAAATAATTTTTAAAGTGAAATTTCACCTGACTAATCTATTTATTCAGTGTCATGCCAATTAAATTACTAAAAGAATTTTTTTCCAAGTTAGAAAAAATTATAAAGTTTATTTGGAAGAGCAATAGGTCAGGAACTTCAAAGAAACCAGGAAAAAAAAAGGTGTAAAAGAAGTAGATTCATCAGTATTGGACCTTAAACTAGGCAGAGAGCATTGTTGAAGTATAAAAAGGATAATTTCAATTATTTTAAATTAAAATTTTCTTGTATAAATAAAGCCCATTTAGCTAAGAATACACACACACTCACACATACATATATATATCTTCATTCGTAATTGTAGCTTTCTTTAGGGTGACAGGGAGGGAGGAAAAAATAAAGTAAAAAGTGCACAGCAGAGAACAAAGGAAAACCAGTAAGGAAGCAAAGCTGGGCAGCTTTGAAAACAACGTACAATATTTATTAAACAGGTTTTCTTGAAATGGAAATGTCTTGTTTTATATTGAATCCTCTCTTATGGTCTGCTGTATACATGATAATGTTTGTTTATTTGTTTGTTTTTTTTCTTTTCTTATGTATTTAAGTTGAAAATTAAAAAAAAAACTAACTCCTCCAAAATAGCCTCATTATTTTGATTGTCTGGATTCTGAAAAATAATTGGTGTTTATTGAATCATTATAATCATTAATTTTGATAGCACTTTATTCTTTGGTGGCAAAGATCCCCTTATATCATTGGCTTAATATGTCTGTTGAGATACAGGGAGATAAGAATTACCTAGCACCTTTTGCCAACAAGAAAACTGGTAACACAACAAGGGAATAAATCATCGCTATTGAGGTATTTTGTTTTGATTTCTCCTAGAATTTGTGCTCTTCTACCACTTATTATCTTCAGTTTGATTCCTTATGGGTCATGGCCCTGGTGCCTGCTCTTTGTTGTGTTTATGTAATTGACCTATTCTTCTCCTTCTCTCCAGAGACCACCTCTTAGAAAATTCAGAACAACCTTCATCTTGCAATTACCTGCAGAGGTGACATCAGATTTAAGACAATTTAAGCCACTACAATTCTATGTTGCTGCAATCCTAACAGATCATCTTGGAACTTTCAAACTCTCAACAAATGACTTGAGTTTTCTGCCCCTGTTAATTTCTATTTTTATTTCAGGTTCCTCAATCTAACAACTGAAAAACTACCCAGAAAGGAGGACAGGGAGTTTTCTTCCAATTTTATTCCTTGGTTCCATGAGTACTGGTTCCAGTTTTTGATAGTTGTCCTAATTTTAGTTCTAGCTAATTAATTGTTCATAAAGCTGGAATGACAAGGAGGTTGGATTAAATGATCTCCCACCACTTCCAGTTTTAACATTCTTTGCTGTTTTTCACTGATGATTCAGAAGCTGCTTTGGGTTCCTGTACTAATTGGATATTGATAAATACTTTAAGATTTCCACAAGCCCTTTAATCCTCACAACAACCTGGCAAAGTAGGTTTTATTATTGCTATGATCTTATGGTATTTTCAAAGAGGGGGGCTAAAAGAATCTGAAAGTCTGGATTTGAGTCTTGGATTTTTCCACTTCCTGCCTGAATGATGTATCAATGAATGTTTTCTGGGTCTTAAAAGTTTCCTTAGTTTCCTTAGCTGTTAAACGAAAAGACGAGACTGAGTGATTCTTAAAGTCTCTCTTAGATCTAACATTCTCTAATTTCAGGGTCTCCTAGTCTATACTTGGGTGCTCAGAAGGGATGCATGTTTAACAGAATTTTTTTTCAAGAGACTACTTATTAAAAATGGGATATTATGAGAAAATATGTATATATGGGAAGGATCTCAAACTAAGGACATGACGCTGTAATTGGGAATTTCTTAGGTCTGCATTTGGTATAAATGACTACTTAATGTAGTTAATTTTGACTATCATTAATTCCTTCAACTTCTACCTCTCTCAAGAATCAAACACCAAACAAAATATTGGAGTTCGGCAGTTATAAAAGTGACCAAGAGAAGGAAAAAGAAACATATTCAGGTAAGAACATCAAAAATGTCATTTTCCATTTCATTCAGATGATTAACAGCCACAAACAACTGTTAGACATCTGCTGTTTTTAGTCACAGCTCTAGAAGTTGGTCTAAATCTTTTCTAAAAGTTAAATCTTGCCTTTGATCTTGGGGAGGAAAAAAAACACTTGAGAAATCGTATAGTCTATTGCCTTGCTTTCATCAGAAATGGGACTTGCTCATCACAAACTAATGATCTAGTTTCAGCAATCATCCCTCTCCCTCATGTATCTCAATATCTTTTCCTCCAATGGCTCCTTTCCATTTGCCTACAAACATGCTCAGGAAGGGGCATGCTAATGAATATTTAACAATTGGTTCACTAAAAAACTGTATATAGTATACATTTTTAGGTTTAATCTACATTATTAAAATTTCTCCACCTTTTTCTTAAGTCTAGACAATCAACAATACAATCTATCAAGCCTTGATTTGTAGCATTTGCTGATTTCAGAGGTGTAAATGCTGAAACTTAATGATGTGCTCTTAGAATCCATCACACTCATGTGTTCAGGTATGCCCAGCGTTTTTATTTTTTTTTTAAAGAGCTATCTCTTGACTATACTAATCACTCAATGACTATCTCACTTCTTTTCTGTCTTTCTTTGTCCATTATTTTGATAAAGTTGTCTATACCCAGTAACTACACCACCATACCCAATTCTCTCCTTATGGCCTCTTGAAAAATCTGGCTTCTGCCTCCACCACTCTACTGAAATTGCTCTCTCAAAAGTTACCAGTGGGGGCAGCTAGATGGTTCAGTGGATAGAGCACCAGACCTGGAGTCAGGAGGACTTGAGTTCAAATCCAGTCCCAGACACATAACACTCACTAGCTGTGTGACCCTGGGCAAGTCACTTAACCCCATTGCCTAGCCTCCCTCCCCCCAGAAAAAAATCACCAATGGCCCCCTAATTACCAAATCTAATGGTCATTTGGTTTTAACCCTCTTCTTCTTTGATCCCTTTACTGTTTGAAGGGTTTGATTACTCCCACTTCATAGATACCCTCTTCTCCTTAGGTTTCAGAGATATCACACTCTTCTGTTTCTTCTCCTGCCCCTTGAACTGATCCTTTTCTGGCTCTTATCTTCTTTCTCCTTCTTAATATGGATATTCTTCAATAGTCTGTGTCTGGTTCTCTTCTCTTTCTTTAAATTTTTACCCTTGCCATTTACTGTGACTTCCCCTACATCCAGAAAATCAGACTTGGAGTGAGTAAAACCAGGTTTACTTCCCACCTCTGACACATCCTGGCTGTGTGGCCTCGGGCAAGTTGATTAACCTCTCTGATGCTCTAGGCAGCTCTCCAGGACAATCATTTGTTGAGGAGTTGCCAATCTGCTTTGATAAAGAATATTTCCTTACATTGATTTGCTTTGTATTTATGAAATCACAGGTCCAGTCTCTATCTCTTTCTGACTTAAAACATGGTTTATATATATGATTACATTTTATGTTCATAACTACCCTCTCAGGTAGGGCACACAAATATTTATTTATTATCTTTATTTTATAGATGAAGAAAGTGAAGCTCATAGAGTTTGAATAAATGTTCTAGATTGATGATTTTATAGTGAACATTTCTTGGGCATTCATAATAGTGATTCTGGGCAGCATACTATACAGAAGGACTCTAGTAGGTCTTCTATAATCTTTTGAATTGCTTTTCTTTTAGTTTTTTAAATTAAAAATAGATGTTTATTAATGTTTGTTTTAATGTAGCCTATATTCCCTCTGCATCTGTTAGTACATGGCATATAATGACACTTAACAAATGTTTATTGACTGACTGATTGGCTATCTAGTCCTCTTTAATCTCCTGGAGAGCTATCCCTTAAAATAACATTTTTTAAAAAGAGTAAAACAAATTTAGTAAAACCAAAGAACAAATGGGAAATATATACATGTGTGTGTATATATATATATATATATACATATACATATTGCATGCAGTGTTTCACATACATGGGCTCTACATTTTCAAAGGAGCAGGGAGAGATATTGACTCATGTAGGTTCTTTGGGCCCAACCTTATTCTCTACAGTGATATGGCAGGCAAAAGTTAATTCAATTTTATATCGCTTTTACGCTCTACTTTAGTAGATGGTTAGTGTCCAGAATGAGACAAATGATCATCCTTTTTCTAAATCTGTCTACATAGAGATACTGTGTTTATTTTGGGAAGGACTTTGACAGATTGGAGGATATTCAAACAAGGATGACTAAGAAATTGATGGGAGTGGAGCCTATGCCATGTAAGGATTAGCTGAAGGAACTGGGGCTGAAGAACAGGAGACTTAATGGGTGCAATATTCCTGTCTTCAAGTTCCAGAAGGACTATTACATAGAAATCTTGTTTGGTTGGCCCCAGAAGAGACAGATTGGTTCATTGGGTGGGGGGTAGGAGGATGACTTATTATTGTGATCACTCAGTGATCAATCAATAAACATTTATTAAGCATCTTTTTGTTATTCAGTTATGTCTGACTCTTCATGACCCCATTTGAGATTTTCTTGGCAAAGATACTAGAGTGGTTTTCCGTTTCCTTCTCCGGACCATTTTACAGATGCTGAAACTGAGGCAAACAGGATTAAGTGACTTGCCCAGGGTTACACAGCTAGTGTCTGAGACCAGATTTGAACTCATGAAGATGAGTCTTCCTGACTCCCAGCCCAGTGCTCTATCCACTGTGCCACCTAGCTGTCTAGCTGCCTACTAGGGGCCAGAAAAGTATCTAAAAAAGGAATCAGTTGCTTCAATAGGTAGTGAATTTGCCTATCTCTAGAGGTCTTAAAACAAAGGTTAGATGATGGGGACACTCAAGGCAGGAATTCATGCTTATGCATGATGCCCTCAAAAATTCTTTCCATCCCTGACATGATGAGAATCTTTCAGTGGCTTCCTAACAGGTTTTTCTACCTTTGCTCTCTCCCCCATCCAATCTGTCCTTCAGACACACCACCAAAATGTTTTTTCTTGGCAATATCATGACTGCTCCAAAAACTTCAGTGGCTCTCTATTGCCTGCTCAGTAAAGTTCCATCACTTTTTTCCTGATGTTAATGTCCTCAGAATCTTCTGTCCATCTCCTTTCCCAGGTTGATCCGATATTCCTTCCTAAAGAAACTCCAGGCTCCAGTGTAATCAGGCACTTTCTGTTCACAGTGCTCCATTTCCTGACTCTATGCTAAGGGACACTGTTTCTTAAACCTTGTTGAATGTATGCATGAATGTGACTTCCTCCATGAAGCCTTCCCTGATGACCGCAATTAGTAACAGTTCCTCCCTTCCCTCAATGGCACCACTAGAGCACTTTGTTTTATACCTCTTCCTATTACAGTGAAAAGATCATTGGCCTTCAAGTCAGGAGATTTGGGCACACATCCTATCTCTGTCTCATGACTGCTCCATAATCAAGTCATTTAAGCCTGCTGAGCCTCAGTTTCCTACTTTATGGAAAGAAGATAACATGTATACCACTTGCCTTAACAGAACTATAGTAAAGAAAGTACTTTGTAAAACTTGAAGCACTATGTAAATACACATTATTGTCATTCTGAGATATTATAATTATTGGCAGCATAGCTTAGCCTTGGAGGATAGAGTGCTGGGATTGAGAAGCACTGGGTTCAAATCCTGTCTCTGACATTAGTTAAGGTCAAGTCACTTAACTTCATTGTGCCTCAAGCAATATCTTAGGATTTATCTACTCAAGTCACAGATTCGGTGGAGAGAGAGCCTCATGCTAATAAAATTGAAGATCCTTAGTCTAGTTATCTAAGTATTATAGTTATCTGTGAACACATATCCCTCTACCAAACCTAGCTTGAATAATACTTTTTCTGTGAAAATCTCTTTGATCTCCCTAACTCAGAAATAGTTCTCCCCATTACCATTCCCAATTTCATAAAACAGACCTTTTAAAAAAACATTTCTCATAAATTATTCATAAATAACCCAGCTTTATATGTCTCATACATTCTCTCTCCTTCCCCATTCTGACATGATAAGCTTTACAAGGGAAAAGGACCCATTTTATTTAAATCTTTGCATTTCTGCCTTACACAGCACATTGTGTTGTTGTTGTCAAGTTATTTCTGTTGGGCCCAACTCTTGGTGACCCCATTTGGGTTTTTCTTAGCAAAGATATGGGAATGGTTTGCCATTTCCTTCTCCAGTCAATAACAGATGTGGAAACTGAGTCAAACAGGTTTAAGTGACTTGCTCAGTCACACAGCTAGTAAGTGTTTAAGGACAGATTTGAACTCAGGAAGATGAGTCTTCTGACTCCAGACCAAGAACTCTATCCCCTGCACCACTTAGCAATGAGCTACCTAGTTACTCCAGAGAGAAGCAGTATAGCATGGTGAATAGAGGACTGGCCTTGAAATCAGAAAGACCTGATTTCTGTTGCATGCTACTGTTTAACAACTAGCTCCCTGTGAAAACAGATTGCATGCACAATACACGTTTAAGTTTAATCTTCATTACTAACATTTCCTCAGTCACTTTTAAAAGACTAGAAAACCAGCAAAATAAGTCAAGCCCTGATTTGTAGCACTACTGATTTTAGGGTTAGCAACTGACTGGAGCTAGCTCCAGCAACCCCTATCTGCATTCAGGTTCTCCCTCTGATACATACTTCCTATGTGGCCGTGGGAAGATCATTTAACTTTTTGGTACCCCAGAAATAGCTCTAAGTTATAGACCAATTTCTACACCAGGGGATACTTAATGAATATTCATGATGGTTGAAGCTTATGTAGACTGAAACACTGCAATAGGACAAATCAAAAGTTTTCTTTATAATTAAAAAAAAATTGCCAACAAATTTAACCTAGCTCTAAAATATGGGTGATAATTTTATTTGTAAATACTTGGAGAAAAGATGATTCCTCAAGCTTGCTCATGCTTGGCAGCCTTCTCTTGGAGAAAGTTCCGTCCTTCATCACTTTAGTCCATTGCTTCTTTGGTCTTCCCATTTCCCATCTGTATAAAGGAATACAGAGGAGAAGAAAAAAATCATGAAACATTCATTTAAAAAGGAAATAAATAGTGCTTAGTAAAGAGACATTCAAAATGTGCACTCATCATGGGAAGTTGTCAAAAATTGGCAAATATTTGGCAATAGTTGGCAAGTATTGCCACTAGTGATACCAAGATTGAAGGTGAAAATTCATTTCTTGACCTTGGCCTTGTTTTTCTTAGCAGGTCTCTGCCATGGGTGACCAGGAAGCAAACAACCACTCTGAGGTGACTGACTTCATTTTTGTAGGCTTCCGGGTCCACCCAGAACTCCATATCTTTCTCTTTCTGGCTTTTCTATTTGTCTATACCATGGTCCTCTTGGGGAACATCGGCATCCTGGCCATCATCCTGATTGATCCCCGACTGAACACACCAATGTATTTCTTCCTAGGCAACCTCTCCTTCATTGATATCTCCTACTCCTCTGCTGTGGCACCAAAGGCCATAGCCAATTTCTTATCATCAAGTAAGTCCATTTCCTTTGTGGGCTGTGTGGTTCAGTTTTTCTTCTTTGTCCTATTCATGGTAGCAGAGGGTTTTGTCCTGGCAGCCATGGCCTATGACCGCTTTGTGGCCATCTGTTCCCCACTACAGTATTCCATCCGCATGTCAAGACGCCTTTGTACCCAGCTTGTGGTTGGCTCTTACTTTTGTGGCTGGGTCACCTCTATTCTCCTAGTCAGTATCACCTTTACTTTGTCTTTCTGTACTTCTCGAGTTATTAACCACTTTTACTGTGACTCTTACTCGATTGAAAAGATCTCATGTTCCAACATTGTCATCAATCGAATGGTGTCATTAACCCTCTCAGGAATCATTATTTTCCCCACTCTAATAGTCATCATGGTATCCTATGTTTACATTGTGTCCACTATCCTGAAAATCCGATCAGTTGAGGGTCGAATGAAAGCCTTCTCCACTTGTGGGTCCCACCTTGGGGTGGTGAGTCTGCTGTATGGGACTGCCTTCTTTGTGTATCTCATTCCCCCCAACAACCCTGAGCTGCGTAAAGTGGCTTCTGTTTGTTATACCTTCATTACTCCCATGTTGAACCCACTCATCTACTCTCTAAGAAACAAGGATGTCAAAGAATCTCTGAAAAGAATTTTAGGAAAGGCAAAAGCTTTGCTCTAAATTTCACATTTTTCTCCCTCCCTTAGTTCTGCTATTTTTAAATCAGAGAAATCCCCTTAGGGATGAAATATTTCTGGTGGAGAAAATTTCCTGTCTATCCAATTGATGCTTTCCCTAGAATACTATTATTACTAAACATCATAGGCCAGAACCAGAGATGACATAGCAGCTCTACTGGGCCCATGAGAAGCTATTATTTCATAGGGTCTCAGAGCACTTCCTAAAGGAGGTTAGGTGGAAGTACAGTTATCCTTCCCACATCGTGACTTCTCCTATTGCAGTTTTAATATATTGCAGGTCGGCATAAGAAATTACTGTAAATGGGAATTTGGGGAGAGTTTTGCAGAAGCTGCAGAGGACATAGAAAAAAATTCAGAACCTCAGAAATGCATAAAATATGCCTATGACCAAATACTTAACCCAAATTTTACAATAAGTCTCTGAAAACACGCCATAAAAGAAAAAGAAAAAATTCAGACCTCTTCTCTGGTACAAACTGAGGGCCAAAATTTTTTACAGAGATTTTCCAGATCATATGGGTATCATATCCCTAACCCCTGCAATGTGGAAGGGATAACTGTACATTTTTGTGGGTTGGCGAGCTGGTATTATTGATCTATTTGGTTGGGGTACAGACACTAGATATTGTAGTTTGTTTTTCAATGAAACTTTTTATTCAAATTTTAAAAATGGATACAGAATTTCTGCTTTTAGTTGGGTTTGTGTGAAAAGTGGAGGTGATAAGATAGATGTAGGAAAAAAAATCTGTGTATATTTTGTTAGGTCATCAAAGTGAATGACAATAATTTGCTAATTCATTCCCTTCCACTAGCTGCTCTCTTCTACAAGCAAAAAGGAGTTGATAGTATCATTCAGTATACCCAAAGGTGGGCCTATGATCAGTCTTTCAGCTTGACTTCTTGGACCTTCATCATCTCATTTTTTGTGTGTGTTTAATTTAATCTGGCCATTCAGGAAGCACTTATTAACCATCTACTATTTCTCCATCACAGAGCCAGGTACTAAGAGTATAAAAACAATCAAGTAAGCAAGCAAACAAACAAATAAACAAACAAACAAAAACCAGTCCCTTCCCTCAAGGATCTTCCATTTTTCCAGAACTGAACGTATAAAAACTCCAGTATTGTTTGGAGAATCACAATTACGCTTTCATAATGTAGTCAGTTCTGATTCATGAAAATGAATTAAATCAATTATTCTTATAACAGGACAGAAAAAAGCAGGGATTTAGGTATAGGATGAGATCATTGAGTAAGAAGAGGCCATTGCTTTTGTCTGCGGGACCTGTGGAAATCAACCTCTTGAATTCATAAGTCTACCTGTGTGGCTTTTGTATTGTAGTACAGTGGATAAAAAACTGACCTCAAAGACAAGAAACCTGCCTCCACCAAATCCTGCCTCTGACTCCTACTATGTGACCCTGGGCAGGTCCATTAACCATTCAGGGCCTGAGACAACTCTCTAAGACCAGAAATTTCAGAGTGCTGCTGATTTGCTTTTGTAGAGAGGAATTAACTCCAGGGAATCTCCCTGTACCAATGGAATCACTGGCCTGGTGAAATTATGTAAAACACACATGCATGTACACACATAGGTGTGTATGTTTAAATATACACATACAAATATACATATATGTGTATGTATTCATATACACACCTACATGCTACATAAATTCATGTACATACATCTATACATTCACATCCACACAAACACATACATATAAGCACAACACAAGTGCATATATGCACACACAAACACATGCACATATGTATACACATGTATACATGTATATGTGTCTGTGTGTGCATGTGTATTTGTGTATGTCCACCAAAATATACTTCCAACATAAATATACGTATATATGTATTATACACATATATGTATACACAATACACATATAGGTATACACAGATATGCATGTACATGTACATGTACACATGCATGTACACTATATACATGCACATGCACAATATACCTATATATAAGAATTTTGGGTCTCTCTGTGTATTTGTCTTAGAATCCATTAAGGATTTTTGTTTTTGATGAAAAAATTTAAAACAGCTAAATGAATGTGAAGTTCTACACATACTCTATCTCTAATGAAGAGCAGCAACTCTGACATATGTTGGGTAAGAGAGAAAGTCAGTCTACAATGAGACATTTGCTCTACATTATCTGTTCAATGGAGACCTCTCCTTTAGGCACTGAGAATTAGCTGTGTCCATATTTGTATCTGTCCTGATGATGCCAAATATTCAGATAGGAACTGAAGCTGAAAAATATAGTCAACTATCCAGGTATGTTCCAATATGCAATATTTTTCATGGTGTTTATAAATCTTGCATCTACATTTGTGAATAAATTTTCTAGTTTTTTTTTCCAGAAGACACACCCTCAATACCTTTCTTCCTTGGAAGAATATAAAATCCCACCTTTGGAGACTGATTATCCCTGCAGGGTAAGAAGTAGTAAGACTTTTTTGTGCTTATTCTAGAGACAGAAAAATATAGAAGTTAAATGATTTGTTCAGTTGTCATGTTTTATTACTACCCTCCACCTCACAGTGTCTAAATAGCAGTTACCCTTCTCTCTGAACTCTAGTATGTTAAAGAAAAAGTTCATGAGGAAATAAAAGGGAAATTCAACCCCCTTCAAACCCTCTGGTCAACCCCCACCCTCATTATCAGTATCTGTCTGCATCATTTATTTGGGATGTTCTTGATTCTATAGGAGTGATTAATATTTCAGGCTTACACTGTTCACTCTGTGAGGGATTCAGAAATGATCATTATCCCTTGATTAAGTGTGAATTCAATAAATGATAAACAATAGCAGATTAGAAGCAGGACAAAACTAGAATTTACATCTCCTTACTCCTGGTCCAGTTATCTCTTTATTAGATAACACTGTCTGCTCAGCCTTGAAAACTGATTGTAATGTTAGAGGTATAGCCTCATGAGTGTCCTAGAATGAGATACTGCTGCTAATGCTGGAAAGATCCTAGAGAAGATGTCCTGGTTCTACTCCTAACTCCAGGCACAATGCCACCTAATTCATTCAAAACGAGTGTCTGTGCCTTTTTATTTTTTTTCAAAGTATCTAGAGGAAGAAGTTCCATCCTCTAGTCCATGGTATTCTAAGTGTCTTACACACTTTTGTACAACTGAATGACAGTTTTCCTCACTTTTTAACTTAAACATATTTTCTGATTTGTGCCATAATATTTTTTTTTGTAAGAACCATCCAGTGTCCTGAGATTTGTAGTTGAAGTCTCTCATTGCCAACCTCTCCCTCACCCTGTCCCACCCACCCTAATCCCATTTAGTGCCTGCATTGTTTGCCAAGTTACCTGTTGTTGCCTGGATAAGCAGACTAGAAAGAAACCATTTCTGAATCTCAGCCATAGAATACAAGTGAGGGGGAAAATGAGTTTCCCACATGCTCTTTTCCATTTTTTAAGTGCACATATTTAGAAAACCACACAGGACATCTTATTCACAGACTACTTAGCAAATTCCCTAACCCCCTGTAGATTTTCCATTTGTCCTTCCTTGAAAAGCATTTCTGAAGTGGAATTAATTTCTTTGCCCTCCCTTGTTTCTACAAGACCCATTATATTCTGTCTTCATTCTCTTGCTCATTGTTAGTATCTCTTGTAAAATTCTTCAATGAAACATTGATTTGGAGGTTCTATTTTTCATGGCAGGGATAGTTAATGAGACAGAAGCTTTTATCCTATTCCTCCTCCAGGGGGTGTGATACTTGACCCTAAATCAATTTGAATCTCTTCTATCTGTATTCCAGGGATAACTCAAGAGATGACATTAAAAAAATTGTGTCTTAGCTTTATATTTATTCTGTTATTTTATCCAAGATGAAACCCATCTTTGTTGGTAATGAACATTTCTGATTGAATACCTAGAAAATGGTGAGTTTTTTTTTTGAAGAGTGTCCTTGAGAGAGACCATGAGACCTAAGTTATAGACCTGAGGGCTTTGCTTGAATTTTGTAAATCTATGCAGAAGTATATCAGTGGTATGCTAGTAGATGCTTAATGACCAGCTCCCCAAAATGCAGACACACTTTTAAGTTTAAGCTGCACTATTAACATTTTCTCTATCATTTTCTTAAGTACAGAAATCAGTAAAATAATAAATCAAGCCCTAATATGTAGCATTTGTCCAGGGTATAAATGCTAATACTGAAAATTCAACAATCATCTTTAACAAACTGGTTCAAGCTAGCTCCAGCCTACCTTTGTGTGTAAATGTGATTTCTTCCCTCAAAACCCAAACTATGAGAAAATATTCAATTTCACAACTGTGTGTAAATAGATTTTCAAAAGGTAGATATAATGGGTATCATGGGCCTTTATAACATTTAAAGAAAGACTCATGAACTTTAACTTTCTATCTACTTTTTCATCCAAAGAGAGATCTTATATCCTATTCTAAGATTTTTTTTTCTTTTTGTGGAAAACAAAGAATTACAGGTTGAGGATATTAAGTGTATTTTTTTAACACTTCAAGGTGTATCTCCTTGTTGTTGGTGTATGACAAGTTATTGGAGTGGGTTAAATCCATTTTATTTTCTTTTTACTATCATCACAGAGAAAAAAGTCCTGTTCTTGTGAGAGCCAGAAAACTAGTGTTACTCTTTTGCAACCTAGTACAGGTTATGTGTCTTTTAGAACACACTTTAGAACACAGTACAACTGAAATTCCATGCTGAGAGAACACCACTGGGGGCTCTGGAGGACTTTGTAACAGTGTGGTCCCTTGGGATGGCTAGTTCTTCAGGTTATATGTTTCTCAGTTATAATTACAGTTTTAAAAGGTATTTCAGGTTCTAATCTTCTTGTACTAATAATGTGAGCTTCTCAAGGACAGGTGATTGCTTTCTTTAGATAATACCCAGGAAAGTTGTTCTGTATGTAATGAATGCTTAAAGATTACAAAAAAACCCCCACAAAACCCCCA